GATAAAATCCAAAATCTTTAGTAGGTCAAACAAGGTTCTCAGTACACCTGGCCTTGCATGCCTAGGCAACTCCATCTCACACCCTCTTCCGTAGTCACATTGAGATATTTCTGATTCTCTGATCATGCCTGTATTCTCTGCCTGGATTTATTTCCTGTTCCTCACCTCATTTCTCAACTACCCAACTCCCCACTCTTCCTCCTTGAAGCTCAGGGAAGCTACCTGTTCTGCCTGCCTCTGTTCTGCCTCCCCAGTGCCCTGTTTGTGTATACCATAATACAGTCTATTACTCTATCCTGTAATTTTTGCCTCCCTCTAATTCACAGATCTGCCAGCCTCTGTACTTGACACAAAGCTGACGCTCAAATATTTGAGTGTGCAACTTCTAAAACTCTTAAATTTTGTCTTGTATTACAAATGATCAGAAATTGTGCTACTGAGTGTTTATAGCCTGAGTGGCTACTTCTCCAGAATGACTCATTAGTATTAAGCTGGAAAACTTGTAAATTATATAAAAATTAATTCATTTGAATAATAGTCAAGAAATATGTAAGATGCTATGTCTACTTCTATCATTTACAGAAATGATAATTTACTTGCCAAAGTAAAAATATATGCTTTAAATATATCTAAACCTGTTAAAGAGAGTAATGAAAAATTTTTTGTGTTTTTTTTTTTAAAGACCAGTCTTATAAACTGCCCAATTTACATGAGTTTTCAACTTTTCCACAACTTTTGAATGGTCAAAAATGAATAAATCACATGGCTGGGGTTGCGGCTCAGTGTGCGGGGTGCTAGGTTCAATCCTCAGAACCACATAAAATAAATAAATAAAATGAAGGTATCCAACTACAGCCAAAATAAATATATTTTTTAAAATGAATGAATCACAGAAACATATATGTCTCTCTAAAAATGTATTTTTATCACATGTTTTTACATACTATATGATTTGCATTATTAAAATTCCAAGTAATTTCTCAGTTTTATATTCTATCACATTTACAATGGTTCTAAAATTATTTGGTCAATTATCAGCCTTCCCTAGCCTAAAACTGATGTTTGCCCAAGAGGCAAATCACGGAGAATAAACAATTCAGTCAGGAAAAGTTCTACATTCTCAACTAAACCAGAAATTATTAAGGATAGGGACTTACTTTAATGCACATTCCACTGCATTCCACAAGCTATTATATTACAGCTTGAATTGTGTCCCCCCCACAAAATTATGATGAAGTCCTCAGAATGTGACAATATTAATTGGAAATAGAATCTTCGAAGATGCAATTAGTTAAGATGAGGTCAGACTGGAATTGGGTGAACCCTGAATCCACTATAATCGGTATAATTACAAGAAGATGTCTTCACAGAGCCATGTGAAGACAGAGGCAGGGATTAATGGCCTCTACAAACCAAGGACTGCTGTTGTACCAGAAGCTTGAGAAAGGCATGGAACAGATTCTCCTGCAGAGCTCCTGGAAGGAAGCAACAATGAGGACATTCTGAGTTTAGTCTTAGAGCCTCCAGAACTGGAAGACAATAAATTTTTGTTGTTTCAAGCCACCCTTTTTGTGGTTCTTTGTTACAGCAGCCCTAGGAAACCAACACACAAAAAAAGTACTATTCATATTGAACTGAATTATTTCCTAGAGAGGAAAGGTAGGTACAATGTATCCAACCTACTTTTTGTAATTACTTTCAAAAATCTGACAATGTATATTAAGAACCATAAAATATGCCACACTTGTTGACAAAGCAAGTCCACTTCTGGAACACTACTTTAAAGAAGCAACCCCCAATTAACAAAATGATATAACTTCACAGATAAGAATTACCATAATTTAGGTTGTTTATAATTTCTTGCTAATCTACCTGTCCAACAATGGAGTATTGGTTAAGTAAAGAAAATTATAATTACCGGAATATAATGCAATAATAAGAGTCAAAAATTATGTAAGATGAAGATGAAAAATGTTGTCTATGTGTCACATGAAAACACAGAATAATAAAATTGTATATGGAATATAATGTAGAAAAACATTGATAGGAAAAAGAGAGACAGACAAAAGCAAAAATGCATACTATTCCTGGTGGTAGAATTATGTTCAGTAGGGGCTGGGGATGTGGCTCAAGTGGTAGCGGGCTTGCCTGGCATGCGTGCGGCCGGCCTGGGTTCGATCTTCAGCAACACATAAAAAAAAACAAAGATGTTGTGTTCGCCGAAAACTAAAAAATAAATAAATATTAAAATTCTCTCTCTCTCTCTCTTTCTAAAAAAAACCTAATAATAATTTTAAAAAAAAGAATTATCCTCAGCAGGTTGGAAGTCTCTTCTTGTCTCCCCAGTCTCACCATTTTCCCACCACTGTGTAGTCTTTTTACTCCCCACCTCAAACTTCCCCTCAAATAGCCAATTCTTTCTTGGCAATGCTTCTTGAGCTTAGTTCAGGCCTACATCATCTAACACAGGCTTTGTGAAAAGATTCCTATTTGACCTGACTGCAGCTTCACCCAACTATAATATCTACTTCCACAAAAGGGCATTTTACTGCTATCAAGTTAACTTGCTCATTTGTGTTTTATGCAATTTTATGCTTGTGCTATATTCTTCAATAAAAAGTATTTTATTAAAAAAATACTGTGGTTTCATATTTAGTTTTATATTTTGTTTTTTTAAGGAAAGCTTCCTGGTTCCATGCTATTTGGTCCTACTTCATGGCATCTCTAATTATAATATTTAGTTAGGATAATTGGGTGCCAGCTATAGCAATGCTGGTCACATAGGTGTCTTTCCCCTTCCTTTACACTGTCTGAAATCTCCCCCCATGTCTACCAATGCTAGCTCCTTATCATCCTATAAAACCAGGCTTAATTTCTACCATCATTATCTCCAACTATGCTACCTGAATTCATATTGTATCAGATTCTACAAATATTTATCAAGTAACTACAAAGTGTAAGATCTGAAGATGTAATATCCTTAGATGTTTATGACCTTCTTGTGAAAAGGGAGCACCTACCAAAGAAGATGAGCATAGTAGAAACTGGTATATAGTAAGTGATTAACGAGTATTCGAGATGGGTAAGAGGGAATCTGGTGAGGAAAGGATGGAATGGGGATGGAGGTTGATACTGCTGAAAGCTAGAAGTGACCACATAAAGCTGAATAAATGTAATTTCATGATTAGGAGGTGACATGAGACAGGACTGCTCAGTTTTGCACCTAGGTGACTAGGATAATGGTGGGGCTGACATAAATCATCCTCTAGAGAAGCTCTGGGGAGAAGCAGGGCAAGTCCAAATACACACCAAGAGTTTCTGCACTAAAAAGGAAGAAGACACACCAGAGCACATGAATCCTGTGAATAAGTAGAGGTGACAGAAAGTGAAGTTTCATGAAATGTATATTTTAAGAAAAGAGGGCTAGGAATGTAGTTCTGTGGAATAGTGCACACTTAGTAAGCTCCAGGCCCTGGATTCAAGTCTCAGGAGAGAGAGAGAGAGAGAGAGAGAGAGAGAGAGAGAGAGAGCGAGCGCGAGCGACAGACAGAGAGAGAGAACTAGAGTGAGGGGACCTAAGCCAATGCAAAGGCATACAAGAAGGAAAAAAAGCTGGAGTCACTACTGCTCTTATAGGTGTAGACTCTTTGCCCCTCAATTTCCTCATTAGCAAAATGAGAACAGTATCATATAATTTACAGGACAGTTGAAGATAACAGCATTAACGCTCCTACTTAGATCAGTGCAGGGCACACAAGCACTTGATAAATGTCTGCTATGGAGTGGGGGTGGATTTTATTTAGTCCTCGGTGACCTTGGGGAGAACAATTTCTGTAGGAGCAGAAGCTACAAATTAAGGGAATTAATAAGCAAGTGTGAGGTAAGGCGGAAGCACCCACAGTATCTATGACTCCTTTAGAGCAATTAAGCAATAAAGGGGAGGAGTGTGATAAGGGTAACCTGAAAGCACAGGGTTAAGTGAAAATGCTTTCCGAGGGGCATTCTCACCCAGAAGGGAAACAACAGTAGCGAGGAACTCGATCGCTAAAACTATTCCTCAGTTGGTGTGAGATCTGTTTGCACAACCATACAGGGAGCTAGATAGGGACAGAACCCCGATCTTTCCTGTTTCGCATTCCCCAGGGAGCTCCAAAAGGCGCTCTCTCCGCATCCGGTAACTTTGAATCAGCGCTGACTGGTTAATGAGAGGGAAAGACCCATTTCCCAACCAATGACACCTCCAATGATAAAAAGACGGGCTTTCTTCTTCCATCTCCCGAACGACCTGTTCCACAGCTCTGTACTCATCCTCCCTCCCTGGCCAGCAGCAGCCACTGGGACAGGATGCTGCTCCGAGAGCCAAAGAAACAGCGCCCCTTTCCAAGAGCAGCGCCCAGAGTTCATTCCGGCCGCGAGAACACAAAAGCGCCCAAGAGGGGAAGGAAGCAGAAAGAAATGGGCGCGGAGATTTTTGGGGGATGGCTGATGAGGCCAGATGCCAAAACCGGAAAAGTGACCTGGGCCGCCAAGGTCGAGAAGATCCTCGTCTCTCCCAGTCCCACCCTCGAGCACCTCGGTCCCTCCCTCCCGGCACAGCAGGGCTTAGCAGCTTGGGACTCACCGTCCCAGCTCCACTCCGCCGCGCGCTCCCTGACCGCGACCTTCCCTTTGGGATGCAGGACGACAGGGGACTACCCAGAAAGGCTCAGGTGAGCGCGGCGGCGCCGCGCTCTGGCCAAGGTCCTTCGGCCTCCGCAAGCGAAGGCTGTAAGGAAAAGAACTTCGGAAGAGCCTCCCCAAGCCCAAAGAGGGCCTGGCCGGGCGCCCCGAGCGCCCCGAGCGCCCCGAACCCGGCTCCCACTCCCCGTGCGCTGTGCCTAAGTTCCTCCATCGGCTGCTCCCAGCACCTTTCCCCACGGCTCCTTCCTTCTCCCGAAGCTATTCTTCGCGCCTCAGAAAAGTTTAGCCCCAGTCCTCTGCTCCCACAGCCCCGCACTCACCGCGCCGGGAGCGAGGGCGACGGCGGGCGGCAGCTAGAGCGCGGAGCTCCTCACAGCGGCCTCTGCTGCCCCGGCCGCCGACTAGGCTATAAGAGGGAGGAGGCCTCCGGGTGTCACCTGCCCGTGCTCCCACCCCACCGCGTCACGCGGCACAGCGCCGCCCCTCGCCCGCCCTCCGGCTGCCGCCCCCACCGCCACCGCCACCAGGTGCGGGCGGAGGGGCGGTAGGAGGAGTCGGTCGGCTTTCCTGGGAGCCGCCGCCGAGGCACGCGGCGCCAGACTCCCCAGTTCCCCGGGCGCCAGATGCGCAGAGCCAGGCCTGACCAGGAACTCCTGACCGCTCTGGGATTATCAGTTCTGGTCTTTGTACTAATTCCATTTCTTCCTGAGCACAAATGCCATCACCTAGGGTCATCCCAAAGCTGAACATAAATGGTGTGAAAACTGTCGTCATGCATGACTCGCCTGGGAATGTGTTGTAGGAAAATCTGAAACAAGGAAAAATTTGCCTGAGGGAGAGTCTGGAGGCAGAGGAAAAATGGGGAGCTCTAGTTGAAATTCAGAATATTGGTTCACATCTAAAATGGAAGCCAGACCAAGGATCCACCGCTACACCCCCCCCCCCCCGCCAAAAAAACAGACCTGATTTGGGCCAGCTTCATCCCCTGCTTATTATTAAGAAACTAGTGAATTTCTGCAAATATTTGAGGGTAGAGAGGGGTATTAGAGCAATGAAGAGCAGATTGTATATAGTAGCCTTTTTTGAATTTTTTTTTTTTTTTTTTTTTAGTAATAGCGACTGCTTGCAAAAACAGTCTCACATACTCTTTTCTCCTTATCCGCTGTTGGATTGGGAAGCAGAGTGGATAGGGAATGTCAGACCCATGTATATGCACTTTATTTATTTATTTTTAAATCTCACCTGCTTGGTAAGTAAGTTTTAAAATATTTATTTTTATCTTGAGTCTGGTTATGAACGTGTTAACAGTTGTTAGGATTGGAATCATGGCATCATTGTCAATGGCTGGGAAGGGCAAATTGAAGTCTAGACAAAGTGCTTGCTGAAAAGGCAAAAACAAGAGCTAGAATTGATCAGTCACCCAGAAACCCCCCAAATAACCTGAGAATGGCTGTCCTGATCCAAGCATCTCGCTAAGATGGGCTATCGGGTTGTCCTTTGAATTCTCAACATGTAATCAGGATTTTTAAAAAAGATTCAGGACAATTAGGATGGTGGGTAGGGAGATTAACAATCAATGGGACAGAAACACATTTTCCTCGTGAATAAGGTTTTAATGTTTTATTTAAAACTTTTAGGGCTCACTTAGTTGCCATTGAAAAGAAAGCCAAAAATCATGAAAGCTCAAATTTCAGAGAATCCTAAAGCCAAAGAAACTATTTAAAAAAGTTTATCCTTCCTTTTGGATAAACTTCTCTATCCTATTGCAAATAGATCATTAAGTAGATTTGGAGAATCCTTTGGGAATTAAAGACAATAATTTAATTACACTTGCCTGTGGTCTACATCTATCTATATGATATTTTAAATATGCAGGAGGTTCAATAGATTCATTCAGCAACTATTTGAGTGCTTCTATATTCCAGGATCTGATGATTCAACAGACAACAAAAGAAACAAAAAACATTCCCTATTCTCAGGAACTGAACATTTATTCTAGTTGTGAATGACAATTCATGACATTAATGAATAACCAAGTAAAAATAGGTAGTGTTCAGGTTGTAATAAGTGCTATAAATAGATATAAAGAAGGAAAGGTTTTAGGGACTATGGGAGGTGGGGAGTTGCAATGTTAAAATGGCTAGGAAAGGCCTCAATGAAAGGAGATTTTTGAGTCAAGACTTTGAAGAGACAGGCAAGCATGTGTATCAGTCTAGGCAACAACATTCCAATCAGTGGGACCAGCAATCAATGGAAATGAGCTTGCCTGAGACTTTCAAGTTCACAGAATGGCAAGGAGGCCAGTGGCTGAATTATAGTGAGTGAGGATAGTAAAAATAAATAAGGTTAAAGATGAAGGAATCAAGCCAAAAATTGACATCATCAGACTGACATTTCAAAAGGAGTGTTTCTGGCAACATTTTTGAAAATGGAGTATGAGTAAGGAGAGGAGAGGAACAGCAGAAGCAAGGAGATGAGTAGGAGCCTCTTGTTCATTGCAGATAAGAGATAAAATTTGCATGAACCAGGTTGGTAGTCACGAAAGGATCAGATTTTTAAAATGACACCAGGGCATTTGCCTAAGGCACATGGAAGGAGCAATTTGGCATTTACTAAAAGAAAAAAAGTTGAAAGGAGCTGAGATTTTGCAGGGGACTGATCTAATGTGAGAATCCTATTAGATATTCAAGTAGGCATGTCAAGTAGGCAGTTGGTTATACCATTCTGAAATTCAAGAAAGAGGCCCAGTCTGGCAATAGACATTTGGGAGTTGTCAACTGGATAATATTTAAAGACATGAAAGTGGTTAAGAGGATCAAGAATAAGGAAAAGGAAGAGGTTTGAAAGTTGGGTCCTGGGGGTATGTTAGCAGTAAATGGTCAGGAATAATGAGGAGAAACAATCAGTGAAACTGGAGGAAAATCAGGAGAGTGATTTTGTCTCAGAAGGTGGAAGCTTAAGTGGGTGATGCTGAAATAATGCTGCATAACAAATAACACCAGAGCTCAGTCACCTATAGCCATATATTTGTTCTCATGCCCACAGGTCTGTGGGTTTGTTCAGGGTTGGTTCAGCTGTTCTGGGCTGTGCTCAACTGAGTGGTCCAGCTTTAGGTTGTAGGTTAATTTCAGTCTGTTCCATGTGTGCTCTTTTTGGAGCCCAGAATGAAAAGGTAGCATCCAGTTTGGAGTTCTAATAGTAAATAGATCACCGAAGTACAAAAGCCAATGTAAAGCCCAGAACATATATTTTTAAATTTTTATTTGTATGGTTTTTAGTTATACATGATGGTAGAGTATATTTTGACATATTATACATAAATGGAGTAAGCAACTTAGTAGGACATTCTCCATAAAAACAAACAAAAAACTAAATAAATAAAAAGGGCCACGGATGTGGCTCACTGGTTAAGTACCCCTGGGTTCAATCCCTGGAGAACCCCACCACCACTACCAATATGTTTCCAGAATTTTCCCATCAGTCCAACAAAAGCACTGTCAAGATTAAACAATAACTGGCCATCTTCTCCTCCCTCAGACCCTGATAACCTCTATTTTGGTTTCTGTCTGTATGAATTAGCAGCAGAGTTTTTATAACTTCTAAAAAGTTTAAGTTGGCATTAACTCAATTAGCTTGTTAGGAAACTTGGGATGCTAAATGTAATACATAGAGTATAACTTCCCATTCTTGTGTTTGTATATAATGTGGAATTACACTGGTCATGTATTCATATATGGACATCCCAGAGTATATTGAAGGCCTCTGTTCACATCATGTTGGCTTATATTCCATTGACTAGAGTAAGTCACTTAGCCACATCCAATATCAGTAGAGTAGGAAATATATTCAGCCCACAGAATGAATAATCCAAAATGAATAATAATCCAGACTCTTATCACAACAAAAGACCAAAGTGTTACAAGGTGAAGGAAGTGATCACCTATGTCAAATGTATCAAAAGCAGAGGACTAGAAAGTAATAACTTATTTAACAATATGAAATTCATTGGTTGCCCTTGAGTAGTTTTGGAGAAGTGGAGTGAAAACCTGAGTGGAATGAGTTTCAAGAATAAATGGGAAGAGAGAAACTGGAGAAGAGAAGTTTAGATAGTTCTAAGGATTTTGTGCTAAAAAGAAGCAAAGGAATGAGCTAATGGTAAAAAGGGGAAATAGGGGGGCTGAGGTTGTCGCTCAGTGGTAGTGCAGTCATCTGGCATGTGAGGCACTGGGTTCAATCCTCAGCAACATATTTTTTTTAAAAATAAAAGTATTGTGTCCATCTATAACTAAAAAAATATTTTTTAAAAAAAAGGGGAAAATAGGAAATGGTAAGAAATAGGAAATAAGAAATTCCTTGTACCCTCCTCCTTTGTGGGTATTCAAACACTGAGCCACATCCCCTGACCTATTTTGTATTTTACTTAGAGACAAGGTCTCACTTAGTGCTTAGCACCTTGCTTTGGCTGAGGCTGGCTTTGAATTCGTTGCCTTATCCTCCCAAGCTGCTGGGATTACAGGTGCATGCCACCACGCCCAGCTAAAGATGTGACTTTTATACTATGTTTGTATTCGGGGAAAATTTGGTAGAGAAAGAAAAGCTGATGATGTTGAAAAGAGGACAACTTGAGTAGGTGAGAGGGGCTGGATTTAGTGCACAGTTAAGAGAATTTGGCCTTAAATCTAGAAAAACACATTCACTCATAAGTAACAGGAGGGAACTTAAGAGTTACAGGCACTTGTTGGGGGAAAAGGGAGTTTGCACTAATAGCTGTCTTTAGTTAGGTCTAAAACAATGATATTGTTCACTGTGCAACTACTAATGTTTTCTAAATTTAGCTTTTTTTTTTTTTTTAAGAAATATGACAGCTAAAGTTCCAAACTACCTTAATCTCTTTCATTCTCTCAAAGTCATCTACATTTTCCATGCATGTTTTCATACTTTCATGACACATAAGTCTATCTCAGTATACACTGGAATTTTGCATATGGTTACATTTTTATATAATTAGTAGCATACTGTATTCTGCAACTTTGTTTTCAATCTTTGTAAAGATTTTTTCCTATGGATACCCATAGTTCTTTTTCATTGATTTAATTACTATCCCATATTCTATTGCATGACTAAACCATTTATCCATTTTCCTGCTAATGAACAAAATGGAGTTATTTCCAGTTTTATCTTTTTAGAGACAATGAATATAGGTAATAATTTTTTGTATACATATAGAAAAATTTATTGGGTTTATACTTAGAAGTAAAATTGCTCATCATAAAACAGATTGTCCTCTTACGGGGACATTTATTACTTTTCAGCTGCCCTGTATCTGAGTCTTCTTACTCTGAAGAAGTTTCTATTTATAAGGCAGTGGATGGCAAAACTCATCTCTCATTATAGAA